AATAAACATTATTTTGAAAAAAAAAAGTCCTCAGAAATTACTGTTAAGTCCTATAAAATAATAGTCTTTGTGTTTTTTTTTGTAGGTGCTTCCCAGAGCTAAATGTTTGAATGTCAGTGTGCTGTTGCTCATCAGTTGTCATGTAGTGTTTTTTTTAGGTTTGGCAGTGTCCTGTCCTGTTTGGCTTTATGTCCTTTGGCTTTTCCTAGAATTACATTACTGTGTCTTGAGATGAGACCACTAATTACGTTAGCACTTGTGCTAGCATCCCTCTGAACGGAAGCCATTAAGTCATTAAACAGTGTGTACCGCACGCTCTGTTATTTCCTTCTCCGCTTAATTAACCCCTGCCATACACATTCATGTATTCTTTCACATCAACATCAACCAATCACATTTAGGTCCTGCTTTACTTTGGACATGGGATAATAATTTATTGCATTATTTTCAAAGTACGCTGGTGGGTTGAATCATTTGTGAAAACGAGAGAGATTAAAATATTAAGCCTTAGAATGATCTGAAGAATTCAGGTTACATTTTTCTGGTTATTTATAAATTGTATCATTAGTGTGAGTTTTTCCCAACTCCAAATAGCCAAATAGAGGAATAAAAATCTGTAGACAATAGACTTTTTAAAAGAGCAGCAAACAGATACGCCATAAGGCAAGTCAGTAGGATGTCTGTTGTCTGTATTCTGCTCCTATGCCTCTTTTTTGCATAATTTTTGGCAGTCTGCCAGCTGTTTTTGTTCTTCTAATTTTCTCATAAGTATATTCAACAATAAAATGAAAGGAAAATATCGATAAACAAAGACAGTGGGGGGAAGGGTAAAGACAATTACAATGAAATAAAGTGTAATGATAATGCAGATTTTAATCCCATGTTGTGCAGAATATAGACTTTGTGTAGCCATGGTCCTACTGCAGTGTGCACACTGTCACCTCGGAACAAACCACTCTTTCATTAGTTCAGCTGTAAACCTGTCAGCTCTAGCTTGGGGGCAATACTGGATTTATAGGAGAGGGAAACAGACCTAAGGAAAAAAGAAGAGAGGCCAATAGAGGGGCAAGAAATATAGAGAAATATTTACTGAAGACATCAACTTAAGCCTGAAACAAGATGTCAGCATAAAGAAATGTGCTTCTGACAAATTGGATTAAACGCAGCCTGCTGAAATGGAAGCACATTTTAAAAACAGACAGCTCTCGGAATCTTAAAAATGCGTTCAATTTGGTTTGCCTCGATGGTCCCTAGGGTAAAAATGAAGGTGCTGCTATGATGCAAGGAGAAAACTAGGCCTCATGCAGAATCTAAACTTGCCACGACAGGAAAAAGATGTTTCTTATGAATGATGTCAGGCACAAAATAAATGAATAAACTTTAAAAAAAAATGAAGCAGCTTTTGAGATAATTGACTTAGCAATGTCAAAAAGAATCTATAGAAGCTGTCACTGAAATGTCGAAATTTTATGGCTTTGCAGAACAGCTGTTGAAGGACCAATTAAAGCTCCCTCCCTCTATTAAGCTTCAGAGTGAGAGGGCACACTGCGTCCTCATCCTGAGACCTCTGACAGATGCCTCACCAAGATCAGTAAAAGTGAAACTGTCAAGCCACAGACTGAAAGAAGAAATCTGTGGTCTGGCTTTACAGAAATGAAACCTTCACTACTTTGGGGATAAAACCTGATCTCAGTTATGGGGAGGAGGTGTCTGTATGTAAGCACGAGTGTGCAAATTTTCTTTGTGCAGTAGCAGTAAAATACAGCAGAATGTCCAAACAACACATACGTACTCACAAGCACCCACACAGACAGTATGATAGTTTTTGCACTCTCCCTACAAAAATATTGTTCTTTAAAAGATACTGAAAAAAGTATTGCACTTAGTCATTATTTGCCTCGTTCATTTCCCAATTTATGATTGATTTGGAACTGTCCAACTTGTGAGATATGTTGCACGTCTCACATGTTTATGATCTATTTACCCTCCGTCTGAGAAATGACTGGTAGCTTTTATAGAGACAGGTGCTGCTTCCTTATATTTGATCACCTATAGTGTCAAGAATATTCATCAAGCTCTGTTTCCTGATATGAGTGCATGTCAACATATGGGGCTCTAGTTTCGCAGACCGGGCGAGGTGGGGGCGCAGCGCACCTGCGCTTTGCCAACTGGGTGTGGCCAGACGGATTTTGTAAGTTTGGCACACCGTGCGCCTGCTGCAGCTACTCCTCTTTCCCACCTCCGTCCCTCCTACCTGTGCAAGTCGGAAAGAGGTAGGAGAGAAGGCGTGGAGTGGGTTTTACACACATCACACCAATCAAATGAGCCCCTCTCCTCGCCCTTAAATGCGCCGCGCGAAGGCGTAATGACAGTCTCAATTCGCCATTGCAGAAGAGAGCAGCAGCTCAGACAGCCAAACTTCTCCCAGGAGGAAACTGATGTTTTGGTCCGGGAGGTCCAAGCTTGCAGTGTCCGAATATACAGAACTGCGAGCAGACCTCCACGGGCTGATGATGCAAAGGTAGCCTGGGAGGAGGTCACCACAATTGTAAATCAATGTTGTGTTTCTCTCATGCGTGCACGCTCTCTCTTTCTCTCTCGCAGTCTCACTCTGTTTCTTTTCTTTTGACTTTTCTAAGATGACAGATGCTGAATATATACTCCCTATCTGATGCTGTGGCTGTTTGTGGTTGGCTGAGAGGGGTGTGAACTCATTAGTTTGCAGGCTGTGTTAATCAAATCAGGTTGGGTTTCCATTACGCGTGCCAAACGTGCCAAACAGTGCCAATCCCCTTTGATCTGACATCAGATGTGATGGGACAGTCAATATAGAGATACATTTATGTGCTGATTGCAGATAGTTGCATAGAATAGTGGTTTTTTGGGTATTTATTGCATTGTTAATGTGCCTGATATTCTGGAAACCTGCCTGTGAGGTTGTGGTGACGTGTGTGCGCTGTCCGCCGGTCAGCCAAACTTCGGCTAACACCGGCTGCGCTCCGCCTGCACTGACAGTAGACCTGGTTTCAGCTGGCAAGCTTTTAGCGCACCTTTGGCGAAGCCTTTTGGCACGAAACTGTCACTGCACCAAGCTGGATCCATTGACACCTCCCCCTGCTGCGCCGCCACACCCATCTCAGTGCACCTCGGTCTGCCAAACTACCAAACTGAGCACGCCTCGGGTTGCACTGCTCGAAACTAGCTCTGCACAGGGTTCGCCACCCTGCACTGCGCCGGGAAACTAGAGCCCATGCTCTCAAAACGTCTGCAGGAACGTGTGTGCCTACCTTTTATGTATTTAGGGATAAGCCTTTGTATTTGTGAATGTGCCATCATGCTGTACATATTTATGTGTGTGCATTTCCTCTGAAGGTGGCTATTTACTTGAGCTGTGACAATGTCTGTTCACAGGATACAAGGTGGAATATGTTAGCAAGATCAATGAGAGGGTACGTCTCAGTGCGACTCCTCATGGCCTGCAGGTCTTTCTGGATCGATTTCCCATTTTGGCTGCAGCCTTGCTGATGCAAAGATTAGCGTAGTAAGGAAATTGCATGAAATTTAGGAAATGATGACATTTGTCTTTAATTCATGAATGAAGTCACTGGTGTTGAATATTGAGCACCAGACAGACACAGATCAAGAACAGGATCATGATACTGTGTGTGTGTGTGTGTGTGTGTGTGTGTGTGTGTGTGTGTGTGTGTGTGTGTGTGTGTGTGTTGGGGGGTAGTGAGAGGTAGCATCAGGTTCCTGCTTCGAGGCTCAGTGTATACTTGCATATGGTATGAGGAAGAGATAGGTTGGTCATGAGCTGATGTGATGAAAGAATGAGAGTGAAGGAATTACCAGTAAAGAAATGGAGGGGGACAACTGGGCTTTCATCTGGGGTAAGAACAAGCCAAGAGCATGTGAGATCTGTTTGTTTGGCATAATTGTAGAGAAAAATTAAATTAAATTTGATCAAATTAATCATACTAAATTTGTTTTGGAACTGGAATAAACTAGAGATGGATTGTGATTTGACTTTCTTCAAGTTTCCCTTGCTCAATACAATGGAGTTGATTGTTGCTTCAGTCTAGTGTTGTCCTGATAGTGTAGTGAAGCTTGAGTTGTTGTTGAAAAAGATTTTGTGAAAAACTAGAAAACAAACCATGTCTTCAAATCTGTAGTGAAAACTACATTTTTCATTTTGTTGAGCGGAGAAAATTAAGCTCAAACTCTGAAATGGGAGGTTGTGGTGTTCCATGTGTGGACGGACTACTTCTCTTTTCATTGGAAGCAGCTTTTATCACGCACCCACCTGGGGTTGGATGTGCATACCGTCCATTTTCTTTACAGCAGAAAATTTAGTGTTTGTTTCAAGGTCCCGATTTTGCATTTAAGGCTTTTTTCCCCCTGAAAAGTTACCGAAACTTTTCTCAAGGCCAGAACACACTGTCAGACTTGTTGCTTAATGATAGCGCTGCTGAGTGGCTCCATTAGAGCAGCTGTCGATCATTTGCCTTGGTCTAAACCACACCGTCGTGTTTACAGTAGATGTGGTGGGTCAGTTGCTGACTCAGGCGAGTCAGCACATAAGGGATCTCCCCTGCTTTCTGTAGCATTATGGATTGAAGTTTTGTATATGATCAGCTGTCTGACCAAACAACAGGTTCCTCTGTGCTACACTGCTCTCCATAGCGATTCTTGTTAAATTCTTGGCGCATTGATTTCTCACTGCTAATGATTTTTCCATTCCAAAAAAGATGCCTTGAGGATTGCAAGGCTGTCTGTCCATCTGGGATGACCATGAACACAATTTTAGTTTTAAAAGCAAGTGTTTACCTTCACAGGGATGCAGCCAGTCACTCAATAATACATAAAAACACTGTCTTTAATCTCCTGGATGACAGATGCAGCACAGCTGACCCCACCTGCACTTTAGCCCACCCACAGACACCACCTTTCAGTCTCTCTTCATGCAATAATTCACCCCTCGTTCTCTTCTTTCTTCTCAGGATTGAAAAAACGTACCAGGAAGGCCTTCGGGATACGGAAGAAAGAAAAGGACAATGACTCCACGTAAGTGCTGATGCTCCTAACTGGTGTGCTGCATGAACGCCAAGCACATCAGTTGTTCCACTGCTGAAAGTACAATGATGCTGTGCAGTGGAGCAGAGAGCTGACTGAAACCTCTGAATTTGAGTTATTTTAAGAGGAACAAATATTGTATGGCAGCAGGTCTTGGATATACGTTACGGCAGAATGAAAGGATTAGCCTAGATTTACAGGATTAGTATTAAGTGCAGGTTTCATCAAGTCAGTGTTTGACAGCTGCCTCCATTGAACATGCACAGTTTGAGAGTCCGCCAGTCAATTATGAGCCACAGTGGTGTATTGTGTATTGTACTGAATCAATGGATCTGTTAAACTCCCAGTATGAATCCTGTGTGGCATGTTTTTATCGATTTCACAAAATAATGACCAGACTTAATCCATAATATCCCATAATTTAGACTATTATCTGTAATTTAAAAAATGTTCTGGGGGCGTTGGTAGCGTAGTGGATAGTGCCGGCATGTACAGAGGCGATGCCTTGCTGCAGCGGTCGCAGGTTCAACTCCGGCTTGCAACCATTTGCTGCATGTCACCCCCCGCTCTCTCTCTCACCCCATTTCACTCTGTCCTGTACATTAAAGGCAAAAAGCCCAAAAAAATAATCTTAAAAAAAAAAAAAAAATAGTTCTGAAATAATGAAATACAGTGAAATCAAAATGAGACATAATAGACCAGTTAGTTCACTCATGAAGTACGTGGTCAGCTTGCAGAATCTTTGTAAGCTCAATGGTTTTACAGCCAGTTTGTGACTGTGCATGAGACACTTCGACTTGCTGTTAAAGGATTGTGTGCTGTGATATCTGAGAGTGTGATGTGTGAGTGAATAAGTGTTTGAGTTTGGTGGCGTGAAAAGGTTTTCCTTGAATACCCCCTTTTAAATATTTCGGCTTGACTAATTAGCAAAGCACTTGATTTCAAGATGAAGAGCTCATGTGTTAAGTGACTTTCATGCACTCCTTTCTTCTCTGTTTCTTTAAATTCTCACAGGGGGTCCCCAGACAGAGACGGCAGTGTAAGTAACAGAAAATATTTAATATATATCAGCCAGTTATTTCATTTATAAATTAACTATTCACTACATGTGTGTTACTGGAGGAAATTAAGACTGGTGATTGTGAGGTTGATTATTTATTTTGTGTTTTCTTTTTACTTGCCAGGAACCCCACGAGGTTGAATCGGTACTGAACTGTAGTCTGTAGTCCTTTGGAGTAGATTAATCTCTAGATTAGTTAGTCTAGAGCTTAGAGGTTAGACTGATTGGAGACATCACAGCACTATCTTCAGCTCAGTCAACCGCCAGTGTTGCTGTTTCAGCTATTGTTTCATTAGCAGGCTCTCTGAGGAGGCTTTGAGAAAAAAAAAACTATAAAGGGCAACAGGATATTCCCCTGAATCCTTTGGGGTAGCTCAGAGAGACCTAAATCTTGAAATATTATCCAGCACTGTTGGACAATTTGCAGCGTGCTGGATAATAACAGTAATCATCGTCATCATCAGATCGTTAGTGACCAAGTGCAGAAAACAGAACAAATTACGACCTTGTAAAAGGGAAATAGGGAACTGAGTCTCAAATGACATGACTTCCAGAGTACGCAGCATCAAGGTTTATAGGGCAGAAATAGTTGCAATACAGTTTCACTGAACAGTAAAAAATACATTCATTGGTAGTGCAGTAGAACATAACGTACCCTCACTGTCCGGGTGGGATTTTAATCAAAGTGTCTCTTTCTTCCTAGTCTCAGAAGAAGACCAACGGGGCCCCTAATGGCTTCTATGGAGATATCGACTGGGACAGATATGTAAGTAATAGGATTACTATTTTTCTGCTGATTTTAAACAGTGTTTCAACATGGTCGGCACCAGCTCACCCTGAAAACTGCTGCTTTGTTTTAATTTGCAGTGAATGGGCTTATTGTATTGATCCATATTATTGTAAAATCAATTTGCTATTGACAACTCTGTAAACATAGCATGTTAAAAGTGGTTACAGATAGTAAGTCAAGTCAATGGGTTTACTATTTGCAACCTTCAATTACATACATTTTAGATCCAGATCATGACTTTGTCAATATGCATGTGGTCGTGTTTCATTGAGCAGGGAACATAGCATTTATTAGGACCAGAAGCCTCAGTACAACATATTGATTAAATGTGTCAACTGTAGCTTATTAACTGACAGTACTTTTTGAGGTGACTGCATTTTGTTTGTTAGCATTGTATTGGCCGAAGTGATATCACAGCACTGTGTAACTAATAACATCATTCACACTCTCCAAGAGATTTATATTGAGTCCCTCTTTGTGTTTCAGAACTCTCCTGAGGTGGACGATGAGGGCTACAGCATCAGACCTGACGAGGACTCGGAAGAAGGAGATATCCTCTGCACTGCTTGATTTGTCATCTGATAGAATTAATTTGTCCTATTTTTCTCTGCCAATTTACTCTGGCCCACCAAAAATGGATTGCTTCCATTATTAGTACAGGATTTGTTACATTGGTGCTCACTGATAGAGATCAGTTTGTGTGGTGCATCATTCTGCTGCGGCTGCCAAATCAGTGGAAACAAATCTATAAAAGCAATTATCCTCATGTTGTTAAAAAAAAAAAAAAAAAAAAAAATCCACTCACAAAAAAAAACTTCACTCGATGTACAATGATGTCAAAGTGCGTCAACTGCTTATCAAAATGTTAAAACATTCAATTAACAAAGATCTAAATAAAGGTAATGTGGTGCAACGCGTAACACAGCTACAGAAGAATGATTCATTGATGCACCAGATGTGAGCAGGAAGTTGCAGAGAAGTGTTTGAGAAGAGCCCCATAACGTCTTTTTGAAGCGTGAAAATATCACTCTAGTCAATACACTGATTCCCCAGACAGTCGTCTCATATTGAGCAGAGGTGATGCTCTGTTTGTTACGATGATGAGACTGTATTCATCACTTTGCAAAACCCTCTTCAGTGGGTTGAAAATTTGATCTGATTAAGGCCATGCACCTCCATCCTGTGGGCAGGCATGCACCAAATTTAAGTTGTAACTTGTATTAGGTTAAGGTTAGGATTGCCCAACCTGTCAGTTAGTTTAGCGGTAATATTTAGGTTTCAATAGGTAATGGGTACTCCACTTTATCAGCCTTGCGGAGAGGTTATTTTTGTTTCTAGTGTAGACCAGGGAGGCTAGTTTTACTAGGGATGTAGTTACTGAAATAATCATGTAATGGCCTTTACAATATTAGGCAAGTTGAACGTCAAGATATCAGTTTAAGGATGGAAAGAAACATTGCTTTTCTTTGACGCCGCGCTACCACCCATCACCAAAAAGCCCCACTTCTTTTCCTCCGATGAGTCGGAAGAAGAGGAGGACCACAGGAAGAAATTCAAAATCAAGATCAAGCCACTGCCGGCCGATCGTGTAGTGTCGGCGCCCTCGGTCGACGAGCTCAAAGCCTCCATAGGCAACATAGCCCTGTCCCCGTCTCCTATGGTGAGTGGCTCTGACGTCGCTGCCCTCTCACTGCTGGCTCTCATTAACAGATGGCTGCGTATTAGATGGTTTCGGTGGTTATTATGTGCATGTGTGAATCACTCCTGCTTCTGAAGATGTAAAATTAGATTGTTTTTTGTGCACAGATATGTTGGGCATGCATGTGAGTTGTTCACGTTTTTCCAACTAAGGTGCTGCATGATGTTGTGTGTGCTAGTATCTATTGAGCTACTATCTTTCTCTGCAGTGGATGGATGGATCACTGCTTCACCTTTTTCTGGTCTTTACATTACAACACAACTAGTTTGTTTTAATAATCCAGTATTGAATGTTGCGTAATGTCTCTGGTTTAAACCCTAGACTAAAATTACAATTCATGTCTTTGTGATCAGTGATATCAGCTGATTTATGGTTGTTTGAATTCAACAAATTAAATTGTAACTCTTGTGATACTTGGTCAGCGCTGTCAGCGACCTTGCTGTTCTCCTATTTTGTCCGTTGTCCTTTAACACAAGACAGATGTCCCGCCATGACAGAAACCACAGAATAACAGGGTGTGAAGCCTTTTGTTTGAAGCGATGCAGCTGAGTTAATGAATCCAAATTTAAGCACACATCCTCTTCATGTAGCCTGTAATCAGTAGTGGGACTCTAAAACAGGCTTTGGCCTCCCCTGCGTACCCATGATCCCTTTCTTCTTCAGTGAGGACAGTTAGCTTGGGTGTCCGCCTTAAATAATTCAGGTAGGAAAGTGAGGCACAATGAACCGGTGTGTCGGTCCGCTGTACAGTGAGATTGCTTGTGGTCATTTGAGCTTGTGGACTCAATAATTTAATCCAGCCTCCCCGTGTTTACCTACTGACTCCCATAACCTGATCAGGTGTGAAGGTCTTTCCATGCTGTTAATGGTTGTGTGCACGTTTGGAGTTGATAGGACACATCGGTTGTTTTTGCCACACTTTGCTCTCAACCTACGCTGAGGTGACATCACATTAGACTCGGGGAATAATGATAGACATTTTGTCACTAGTTCCTGGTATATTAACAGTTAATCAATTTATCGGAACAATGACAAACAGATGGATCTGTAATGAAAACAGCTCTGATAATATGACAGATTTGGTTTTGGGGCTATTATTCATTGTAGTATTATCCAGATGTGCTGATGTGTGTTTTTTTCTAGACCTTGAGTCATCTGAAATAAGTTTCCCCCAACATCATCTAAAAATTCACCTCGTGCAGTCAAGTCACCTGAATGTTAACCAAAGTCATGCCACTGGAATTACTGGCCTATAGTTGCGATTACAAAACTGGCACTTTCACCTCTACCAGTTCGAATTAGCATCACGTTTGCCGGGGCACCGCTTTCCCCCCCACAGATAAATTACATGAGTCACACAGTCACTCCCAGTCCCTGGCAACTCTGGGTAACCTTGGCTATGGACTGACAATAAAATGGTCTGATGAAAAGAGGAAGAGGGGCCAAGTGTTAACAGGCCTCCGAAGGCAAACGCTGCCTCTTTCCACTGCTTTCTAGTTCTCCCTTATCCCTAAATTGATCCTGTAAAATGTTATTCCCAGACTAAAAAAAAAATTATGACTCGCCTCTTATTTTCAAAAACAAGACTCACAGTTGACAACAGCTCCCAGCCAATTAAATATCGCTGAGATTCCCTCGACTAATAACCGAGGCTCTACATTTTAATGCTCTTGCTCTTGGGTCTCTGCAAGTAAAGATGACATTTCATTTAAAAAGACACTGACAAGCTCTCAGCCCAGCTTTGAAAAACCTGATATGCATACCGAGTATTATACATACCTTGATACGGAGTTTCGTATTTAGAGGACTGCGTGAGCTTAATTTCTGTGGTAATATTTGGCATATTCTGTATGAATTATGCATATGTACACAAACTCATGAGAGGGACATGACGATGCATTTTAGCAGCTTATTTCACATAAAGCCTTAGCCAGGATTCGGTGTTGACATCATGTTAGGAGGAGTAGTGGGTAATGTGTAAGTGGAGGGCTGAAGGGAGCCATAGTACTACGCCAGCTTTATCAGTCTGTGTTAATGATTGCTGTTGATGTAGATGGCTGCCTACTTTGTATGCAGATGTTTTGCTTTGCCAGCGTTAATATACTATCCCTACTAGTCTTCTAACTGTTCAACCCTTCTCTTCTTTTTTATTTCTCTCCTATCTTTTTTTTTTTTCTCCATTTGCTGCCTCTAATGATGCTAACCTCTGTAGAGGAGTCCGGTAAGCCTTTGCTTTGCATGCTCATGTGTTTTATGTCTTTCTTTTCTTGTGTGCTCTTTTTTATTTGCTCATAAAATCAGCTCTGTGCTGCTGAAAATAGAACCACGAGTGAAGCAAGATATCATGCCAGAGTGTAATAACTATAGGCTTATTATTAGCCCAGCATTTAAAGGGCAAATGGCTAATGCTATGTACTTTGTCTTTTGATGTGAGTGTGTTTCATTGTGGTGTTCTACTGTATGTAGGCAGATTACAGTACGTGCATGTGTGTGTGACTGCACAGCATTTTTATGCCACATGTTGATTTGTTTGCCTTGGTACTTGGAGTACAAGCGCACCGACTTTTATGTTGTTTTCCGCTGAGTAAGACGTCTTAAATCTGATTTTAATTGGTTCTGGAGTCTTGAGCTTCCAGCTCTTGGTCAGAATGACACAACTGCAAGCAGCAGACGAGGCAAGGAAAAGGTCAGGGAGGGAGTTAAGATGCAAGAATTTAAAAGAATAGGCCTTACGTCCCATATTATTCCTCAGTTTTCTTATTGTGTTCTAACATTTCAACCAGAACGGCTTAATTTAAAGACAAACATCTTATTTTTATGTTGAATTGGTCATATTTTATAAAGTGCCATTACTGTAGCCAGCCACTGTGCAGCCAGATCGACACAGAGAATCCCCTCAAGCGAAGTCAGTCACTTTACAGCTCAGCTGACTCTCTGTTCAGACATGACTTGCCTCAGTTACAAAATGTTTCATTACTCTTGCACCAGAAGCAAAAATGCAATATTGGAATTTCAAAAATGAAACAAAAAAACTGTATCTCTATTTATTTTGTATTTTATGATTACTATGAGTGTGTTAAAGACCAATGTTAGTCCCTGACAGAGGCTAAAAGGTCACAGTGTGTGACTCTACATGCTTCCTGACGTTCTTCCTGTTTACATACAGCAGAGAGACGATGATTGGTCACGACAAACACGGCTTTAGCTGTGTCCTGCACCAGTTTACCCAATGAAATGAATCCCCTCCACCAGCACGTCCCACCCCCTTGTTGCATCACTTTAATCACTCATGGCTCACTGCACAACTGGAACAAGCACAAGAGTGAGGGATGGAGGAGTGAGAGAGAGACGGTTGATGCGAGACAGAGGTGACGCAGGCACATGGAGAGTTTTTAGCTGAGATGAAAGAGACCAAGGGGGCAGATAAGAGACTAGAGGGGAAAATGGAAGGAAACTTAAAAGGATTAGATGGAAAAAAATGACATTTTTTTTTTTAACTTATCAAATAAAGGGAAAGAGATAAAGATAAGGGAGGGGATTGAAGCAGCTCCACAAGATATTTTGGATGATGTCCAGTTACAGCAGGTTCAGAGATGACATGAAAGGTTCAGGCAGACATCCTTACTTATCTGACGCCCTTGAATTGTTAGACTTTTGTTTTTTCTCACCATCAACAGAAGAAGGGGGTGTAGGCATCAACACAAACACAGACCAGTTTGAAAAAGTCCTGATATCCTCTTGCCTTATCATTCAGCGGCTTATTGAACTATCTGCATTGATGCTCAGAAAAACCTCACACCACACAAGGCTGCATGAAAAAAACCTCACAAAATCTAAAACAGATAAGCACATAATGCCGTCTTTATGGATATGTTATATTCCTGATCCCCTAATCTGACCGACCAGGCCAAATTTCTTCTTCTCCTCATGTATGATGTCTGCTTTACTGATTTGTCACTCTCTGACCAGGTGTCTCTTCTCTCTTCCTTTTTGCTGGTCACAGAGACGTAGCCCGGTAAGTGTCCTTTTCTTCTGTCTCCCTGGGGTCAGGCTAAAAAATATGTCACATGCTTCTTGTACCCTTTTGCTCCTCACCCTGTCCTCGGTGTCGGTTGAATAAGATAGAAAATGCGTAGGTGGGTTCAGTGGCTGAGGCGACGGGTCAAATCTGTTAGCTAATTTGCTTTGACATTAATATTTAAACATAAAAATAGATATATTTTTTCTTAGATTCTCAAGATCACTAGCGTGCTTGTTTTTCATCTTGAATGGCTTCATGCTTGGCCTCTCCAGTGAGAGAAAATTTGCACTTTTGACAGCTGGACCCTTTGATGTCTTACTTCAGTCACTCCCCATCGTCGTGTCTTCTCGTCTCATTGGCTCCTGCCTCTCTTCCCTCTCCTCCCCCTCTCTCCTCATCTGCCCTTTGCCTTTTTTGGCCTTTTGCGGCCTCCACATGATGAATTCATATATATGCTCGCACACACACAGGGTGTTTAAGATCACAGCATAGAGGCGATATTATTGTGCTGCTGCTTCTCCAACAACACAACTCATTTTGCTTTTAACTTCCATGCGCTTCAGCTCTATCAGCCTGACACCCTCTGTAGTATCAGGGGGGACTTCTGAAGACTTCAAAAGCATGTTTTGAAAGCTTTCCAATATTTTTTTTTTTTTTTTTTTTGCTTTGACACCTCAAACTACTGCTCACAGCATAGTTAGGCTACTTCACTGCAGGTAGCAATTGCCATTTTCTAATGTGACACTAACAATGTTATTGTAATTGAATTGTGGAGTTATTTATTGGGGTTACTTACTCACCTTACTTTAAAGTGAATCCCTAATGGCAGATATTTTTGCTTTTGCATCTGATACACAGTAGCTACTGAGGTGATTTATTAGAGCTCTCTGTGCCATATATCACCTAATGTGCACTGTTCAGTGGCTCACTTATAAAGCCTAAGAAATGTCATTTACAGTTCCGTACTGTAGTTGGTGAATACCCAAGAAAGACTTTCAGTAAGTCTACCACTAAAATTTACCTGGACATAGAAATAAGAAATGTTTATTAAAATGCAAAGTAGCTACTTAAATAGCTGCAAGATGTATTTTCATTTGGGGGTGGCTTGGTGGCCGAGGGGTTGGGGCACTGACTGTGGACTGCAGTGCCCCTGGTTAACGTCCAGCTGGTGACCTTTTTGTATCTCATTACCAATCTCTCTTCCCTCATGTCCTCTCATGTCTCTTCTGTCTACTGTCTAATACTAGCAAACTTCTTTCTGTATTACAACCTGCCCTGTGCTGCTGTGTTTTAATGCCTGCTCCTGTGTAGCTTGTAGCTGGTCAGGTACTTCCACAGGTCTCAACAGATTGAGTCAGCCTGTGGCTCAGGTTCTCCCTCTGACCTCACTGTACAACCTATATTACTGCACAGATTAAACCACACAGCTTTTTATATTAAAAGAAAAGTTGTTGTTTTTGACTGCCATGCATTTACATTTAACATTTTTCAGTGTATTCGCAACTGTTGTACATAGATGAGGCTTTAATGTAGGATGCTGATTTTAGTCTCATTTCTGTCTTGTTACAGGGTTTGAAAAGGAACACATCCAGTAAGTATTAGTCATGTTAATCCCTAGGCCAGGTTCACTTTTAATGATAGTGACTTCCAAAGGATGTGATGCAAGAGCCGCATTTGCTAAACAGATTTAATTCTGATTCCAGGTGAGGAGATCGCCAGACCGAGACGTGTTGTTCCTACTTTACCCACTGTGGCCCCCACACCAGCTCCAGCTCCAGCACCACAACCTCCCAGGTATGTACCTCACTGTCAAGGGACAAGCCACTGCCACTCAATGTAAATGTGCTATTTGTATCATACTGTATGTGTCACTGCTGATTCCTTTGCTCGTTTTAAGGGCATTTTGCTGCTAAATCTGTATACAACCTCAATTCCAAAAAAGTTGGGACTCCATGTAAAACGTAAATAAAAACAGAATGCAATGCTTTGAGAATCTTTTTCAACCTTTTTTTTTTTTTTTAAATTTTATACAGTACAGAGACAATAAACTTCATGTTCAAACTAACTAATTATTCTGAATTTGATGCCTGTAGCACCTTCCAAAATAGTTGGGACATGTGCAACAAAAGACTGGGAAAGTTGTGAAATGGCCAAAAACCACCTGTTTGGAATGTTCCACGGGTAAACAGGTTAGCCTAGAATACAGTATTGAATGCCCGCCACCTTTGACCTCTCAGGCTGCACTGCATCAAAACTGACTTGATTGTATAAAGGATAGAACTACATAGGCTCAGGAACACCTTGGAAAACCATTGTCCGTATACACAGTTCATCACTGCCTCTACAAATCCAAGTTAAGACTCTACCATGCAAAGCAAAAATCATATCTTCAACAAAATCCAGAAACACCACCAGCTTCTCAGGGCCCGAGCTCATCTGAGATGGACTGAAACAAAGTAGTAGAGAAGTAGAGAAGTATGCTGTGGTCTGACGAGTCCACATTTCAGACTGTTTTTTTAAATCATAGACGTCATGTCCTCCGGGCTAAAGAGGAGAAGGACCATCCAGATTGTTACCAGCACAAAGTTCAAAGCCAGCATCTGTGATGGTATAAGGGTGTGTTAGTGCCCATGGCATCATGGGTAATTTTCACATCTGTGAAGCCACCGCAAATGCCGAAAGGTACAGGTTTTGAAGCAACATATGCTGCCATCCAGATGACATCTTTTTCAGGTATGTATGCTTATTCAGGCAGCACAATGCCAAGCCACACTCGCAGGTGTTACAACAGTTTGGCTTCATAGTAAAAGAGTGCAGGTACTAGACCGGCCTGTCTGCAGTCCAGACCTGTCTCCCATTGAAAATGTGTGGCACATTATGAAGTGCAAAATACAACAACGAAGACCCTGAACTGTTGGGCAAGTCTTCTATCAAGCAGGAATGGGAAAGAATTTCACTTTCAAAACCTCAATTATTAATGTCCTTGGTTCGCAGACGCTTACTGAGTCTTGTTGAAAGGGAAAGTCATGTAACACAGTGGTAAGCATGCCCCTGTCTCAACTTTTTTTAAATGTGTTGCAGGCCTCTAATTCAGAGTGAGAGTATATTTTACACAAAACACTTAATTGTATCAGTAGGAACAGATATATTGTCTTTGTACTGTATTCAATTAAAAATTCAGCTTTCCAACTTTTTTGGAATTGGGGTTACATTTACACCTAACTACATAACATGCCTTCCGAAGAAGGAATTTTCACTTGTTCCACTGCACATTGTTTTGAGAAACAGTATCTGGTTTTATTGTGTCTGAGACACTCACTCCCTTTAACTGCTTTGTATCATTCAAAGATAGACCTTTGAGTTGTAAAGCAGTGCAGTAGATCTGCTGTGAGCTGTATTCTTTTGCCACACAGTATTAATGCAGTGCACAAGCTAATGGAGCTGATGGCATGGTTACAGTAATCACAGTCATGTCTCAAACTGTATTTATTAGTGTTCAAATCCTACATGTAGCTCGATTTTAATCTGCATGATAGTTTTCATTTTGGAGGTCAGAAGTGTCATATTTTGAAATAATTATCTCTTACACAGTGTGGAGCTTTCAAATGTCACCATCAAGCATCATTAGGCCTTTTTGGGAGTTTGGTCAGTCCATCCAACCGTGATGCATTCTATCATGGTCGGATGGACTGGGGATTGGAGTCACATTAATCAGCGGTTCAACAACTTGCAGCACCTATTAGTCAGGTGAAAGGGGGAATTTTCTATTAGTCACATCTTTTTATATTCTTTCTCAAAGGCTACCAGCATCCAGTGTCACCTCTTTAGTTGTCTCACTGAAACCCTCTGCATATGACTCAAGGCTTTTCTCACATGTGCTGAGGCTGTCTAGCTTGGCTTAATTAAGCAGGGACCCTAACTGGGATTTGATCTACTTTAGTATAACTGAAAAGTTGGTAACAGCACTAAATATTTTTAAAAGAAGCCTTAATATCGTTGAAAGAAGGGAACTTCTGTAGCCAACACTCTTGATATAACCAAAGGCTATGAGATAAACACATTATGTTGTGCTTCTAACATAATGGCCAATAAACTCAACAAGATTTTGTTTAGATATCGCACAACCTTTGCCATCTTGCAAAAACATAAGAAGTTTGATTCAAACATTGTGTTTATTCTGCTGGAGGGCCACTTGAGGCTTTGGTGAATCTGCGGAGCTGTGACAGTGTTTATCCACTCAACAACACTGTGATGCTTTGTGTGCTGTGGGAACATAAACACATGCTCTTCTAGTGTAAATGCTGTCTTCTAGCATGAATGCTTGTCTTTATAGTTTGTATTGTATTCATTGTTGTTGTTGGGTCATTCTTATTGTTATTCTTCTACTTATGCTTTTGTGGTTTGTGTGAATGTTAGTTTTTAGTGTCCACGTGTCTGTGTGAGTAAGAAAAAGAAATATGCAAGTGCAACTTTGTGTTTTTATTATTTTATTTGTAATCAGTCATTGGTTAAACTACTTGTCAGTCTCCTGCTTTAGTTGTTTTTGATCTTTACATTACAACATATTCTACCTCTAGAGTTCATTGTGTTTTAAATACAGCACAATCCTCATAATTTGCTTATCTTAATAACTGTTGAAAATTCGTTATAATTTTGACTTATATTAAAGACGTTTATTTGTTTCATTGGATTCCATATTCCCCCCACCATAGCAGTTGCTAACCTTCCTTCCATCCACACATGTCCTTTAAAGATGTCCAAATATAATCATAATACATTAGAGAAAGGGAAGTCTTAAAAGAAAAAGATGTAAATATATATTTTTTTTAATCCAAGCAGCTTTACATTTTTTTTTATATCTTAACATTACCAAATCATAAAAATAGAAATATTAACAAATGGGTCAAACTACCTCATATAATTTTAAAATGGATAATACTTGCAGAGAGTGTGATAACTAGTAATTGCAATAATACAGCTACAAATTCATGTAAACTAAGCCAACAACCAAAAAAAAAAGATAATAAAACTGTATTCAGCCACATTATCTGAACAGTATAGTGTTTTTTGTAAATTTGCATTTATTTCTTAAGAATGTAGGCATGGGTTTAGGAATAAAGTACCATTTATCCACATACTAAGTGGAATAAGTATGTGTTAAAAGGTATTTTTCCTGTACATGACACGATGACGGAAGCTATGACAATATTAACACAGTGTGGCTGTTTCCTAAAATGACCTTCTGCAACTGTTTTGTCACACAGCGCCTCCCCTTTCACATTGTCCTCTGTCTGTTTCAGCAGTCAACAAACACCAGTCTCTGAAGACACCACAGCCTTATTTGGGCCTCCTTTGGAAACAGCCTTTGGAGAACAGAAAACTGAAGGTAACCCTCGTCTCTGTGTCTTTGTCACTGTTTTTCCGTCTCTGTGTACGTCTTTGTGTCTGTTGTTAGAATACATCCGTGTTGACTGTTGTTACCAGCGTTGTTGTTTTTGTCTGTGATAGCAACACAATAAAAAAGGCTTTCTGAACACACACTTATTGTCTCTTTAAGGCTGCCAGCTAAGCCCTGCTTGGCTGTCATAGCAGATATCCTCTCTCTCTCTCTCTCTCTCTCTCTCTCTCTCTCTCTCTCTCTCTCTCTCTCTCTCTCTCTCTCTCTCTGTCTCTGTCTCTCTCCCTCTCTCTGTCTCTCCTCTCCCTCTCTATTTCTCTAACATCATTGTTCTTCCCTCAGGCTCTCTGTGCAGTTGTGGATTCTCTCCATCTGTCTTTGCAAAGGTCAAAGTTGAAATTGGCACTGGGGGGTCATGTTCACGTGCACAGTGCAGCTTGTTAATATGCAGACTCTGCTGCCACCCGCTCTCAGCCAATCCAGTAGGATTTAGCAGCACAGGCTGTGGGAGAGCTCTTAGCTGTTACGCAACTGCCATGTCAGGCATAACTAACATCAACTTGACACAAATTCCCTTTATACAGTTATTCAGACATATAAAACATCTCAATGTGTGTGACAACTTTTTACTCATTGTGGTTTTATCTTCAAAAGATCATAAAGAGTGGGGGTGTGTGATAAAGATAAAATCTTTTCTCTGGTGTAATTTTACACTTAGTTTCAAGTCGATTAGGTACAGTTTGCTAATACTAATACAGTCTAATACAACAGCCCTACAATAAATCCTACCCTCACGAGACCTACACAGTAACGATCAGTGTTTGCTGTAGAGAGACTGCTTTGAGGTGATTCCAATATTTTGTTCCCTCCATTTATAGTAGTAACAATGTATCTATTATTCATTTTGTTTCCAGTTTATTAAGTGCATGGAAAGCAAATGCAGTCTAATACAGCAGTCCTGCAATAAATGTGCTGATAATAAATGTGCTGATTCAACTTTATGGTAATCTTGGAGGATGTATTGAGGTGCCGTTGAACTATACGGCACTATACAGAGAGGTGTTTCTGTTATTTAGCCCACGCTTATTGAAATAAATTTGAGGCTCAGCCCAAACCTACAGTAGGGAGTCTGATGGCATGATCCCCCCTCTGAGATTTTTTTTTTCAGCAGCTATATGCACTATTTTTGAGCCATTTGAGATAACAGAATGCCTAAAAATCTGTACACCGTTAGGGGGAAAAAACATGATTGTTGCAAAGGAAGAAAGTCATCCTGCAGAGCCTACATCCTATCTTATATCTAATTGATTTCCAACTGTCTTCATTATTCTGACACTTTTAACACAGCAAATGTTGAGGGTGACTCATTTCACTTCTGCCACCTAAAAAGAGGTGAAAATTGTCTGATATTACTATTTTTAAGGTACGTAACACAGATAGGCAGGTGTCTGGTGTAAACAGCGTTACTGATCTTGAAACTTATGCTTGTTATACTTTGCTGGAGTTCACAGATGAAGTTCACAGCTGACAAATCTGCTACATTTGAAGCAATGCCATAATAATCTGGGCTGCTCTATTTGCAAATCAAGGGTCCCCAGCAATGATAGGTAAATGTGGTCTTTAATACAGAAGAACCTTTACTCACATATAATAGATTTCTTTAAGGAATAGCATAGAAGGATAAACAGCATGGGCACATATTATTATCTGAATGAAACAGTTTTTAAGGTATTCTAGAAACCTAAAAGATTTGATGCTCTTGAGAAAACATTCAGGCTTGAGCCCCAAAAGTCACCCTCCACCCTGCATCTGAGCTGCATCCTAATTAACTACCATAAAGTTGAATCAGCACCTCTCCATAACAGTTTTACCAAATACTCAACATTATAACCTTTATGAAGGTTGTATTTATTGCAGGACTGTTGACTGCTGTATTTCTGTTATATAATAAACTGCAACTGAGTGTTAATAATTTAGGTTCTTGTTAAATTTATGATGGGGATGTTGTTTTTGGTTAAGGTTGTGAAGTAAATGTTTGAAAAATCAAGGTAATCCATCACATTACATCCTGTAAATCCAGTATTTTCATAAAGTTCTCTTGCAAAACTTTTACTCGTATATCCGGAAATAGTACAGTAACATAGGCAGGTAGCTAGTTTGGTATAAGCAGTATAAAAGAATATCTTACTAAGATCTCATACAGTGTGTTGTCATGTTACCCTACCCTAATAATGTGGGTGTTGGCATCATGTGATTTGTTATTGAGAAAAGTAGTGAGGATGGTGTTTAACTACTTTTTACATAGGCAGGCTAATGGTAAAGGTAATAATAAACGTGTAGATTTCACATTAACTCTCATCATGTTGAATTTATATAATGCTATTTACTATTGCACAATTTCAAAAAACTAATCACAGGATACAAGTGGGCTGTCTTGGTCACCCCGTTCCCAAATATTTCTTATTCTGCCTCTAGAAATCAGTTTGAGTGAACAAGGTTGTAGCCATGTCCTCAGATACATTTTGTGCTGAACCCTGTATCCCACTATTACAGTGGCACTGAAATTCAGTTGGCAAATGTTACAACACATCCTGACTGCTGTTTGCCACTGAGGCTGGAAATTGGTCTTCTGTAATGAAAGATTTTATTGACATGCTGGTCTCTGTTGTTTCCTCTCTTGCACCTAATGCTTTTTTAAGCCTCACAGAATGAGAAACCTTTTGAATATGTTGGCTCTAATGCCGCTGCCACGGCCTGTTCTGTCCCCTTCTGAACTTAGTGGGTTTCTCGGGGTCCGATGCGTGGGGGGCTCCTCTGTCAGAGTCTGAATCCTCTTTGACAAGATCCTTCCCTACAGGAAGTAAGTTTAATAACCTGCATATTGTGCTGCATTTCTTCTTCTCCCTGGAATGACTGCACGGATCCATCTGCTAACCTCATGAACCTCATCATCATCTGACTAACAAACAGGCCTGCACACTGACCCAGTCCAACACTTGTGTGACCACAACGCTCTGCTCCTTGTTACAAACAGCCAGCTGTAACCCATTTTATTTTATCAGCCGTTTCACAACAAATGATTCAGCTTTGGTTGTAGTTTATTCTGGGAGAGGTCAGTACCTGTCTCCCATATCGCACCACCTCATCCTCCCTCACTGCCTCCTCCTTGCATTTGGCATGGCGGTGACTGAATGTGCTTTTCTGCATGGTTAATGCTTTATGGGATGATCCCTTCTCCTCGAGTTGTTGTGGTTGTGTTTTGCAGGTGTGGTAATCCCTGCCATGTATGGAGTCAAACTTTCCAAGCTTTTGTTACAGGAATTTCTGTGTTAAATAAACATAAAACACCATTTACTTTATATAAACACTAGGCTGTAATCTCAATAAACAGATATCTGTGTATATGTGTGTGTATGTATGTATGTATGTATGTATGTATGTATGTATATATATATATACAGTACAGGCCAAAAGTTTGGACACACCTTCTCATTCAATGCGTTTTCTTTATTTTCATGACTATTTACATTGTAGATTCTCACTGAAGGCATCAAAACTATGAATGAACACATGTGGAGTTATGTACTTAACAAAAAAAGGTGAAATAACTGAAAACATGTTTTATATTCTAGTTTCTTCAAAATAGCCACCCTTTGCTCTGATTACTGCTTTGCACACTCTTGGCATTCTCTCTATGAGCTTCAAGAGGTAGTCACCTGAAATGGTTTCCACTTCACAGGTGTGCCTTATCAGGGTTAATTAGTGGAATTTCTTGCTTTATCAATGGGGTTGGGACCATCAGTTGTGTTGTGCAGAAGTCAGGTTAATACACAGCCGACAGCCCTATTGGACAACTGTTAAAATTCATATTATGGCAAGAACCAATCAGCTAACTAAAGAAAAACGAGCGGCCATCATTACTTTAAGAAATGAAGGTCAGTCAGTCCGGAAAATTGCAAAAACTTTAAATGTGTCCCCAAGTGGAGTCGCAAAAACCATCAAGCGCTACAATGAAACTGGCACACATGAGGACCGACCCAGGAAAGGAAGACCAAGAGTCACCTCTGCTTCAGAGGATAAGTTCATGCGAGTCACCAGCCTCAGAAATTGCAAGTTAACAGCAGCTCAGATCAGAGACCAGATGAATGCCACACAGAGTTCTAGCAGCATACCCATCTCTAGAACAACTGTTAAGAGGAGACTGCGCGAATCAGGCCTTCATGGTCAAATAGCTGCTAGGAAACCACTGCTAAGGAGAGGCAACAAGCAGAAGAGATTTGTTTGGGCCAAGAAACACAAGGAATGGACATTAGACCAGTGGAAATCTGTGCTTTGGTCTGATGAGTCCAAATTTGAGATCTCTGGTTCCAACCGCCGTGTCTTTGTGAGACGCAGAAAAGGTGAACGGATGGATTCCACATGCCTGGTTCCCACTGTGAAGCATGGAGGAGGAGGTGTGATGGTGTGGGGGTGTTTTGCTGGTGACACTGTTGGGGATTTATTCAAAATTGAAGGCACACTGAACCAGCATGGCTACCACAGCATCCTGCAGCGACATGCCATCCCATCCGGTTTGCGTTTAGTTGGACGATCATTTATTTTTCAACAGGACAGTGACCCCAAACACACCTCCAGGCTGTGTAAGGGCTATTTGACCAAGAAGGAGAGTGATGGAGTGCTGCGGCAGATGACCTGGCCTCCACAGTCACCGGACCTGAACCCAATCGGGATGGTTTGGGGTGAGCTGGACCGCAGAGTGAAGGCAAAGGGGCCAACAAGTGCTAAACACCTCTGGGAACTCCTTCAAGACTGTTGGAAAACCATTTCAGGTGACTACCTCTTGAAGCTCATGGAGAGAATGCCAAGAGTGTGCAAAGCAGTAATCAGAGCAAAGGGTGGCTATTTTGAAGAAACTAGAATATAAAACATGTTTTCAGTTATTTCACCTTTTTTTGTTAAGTACATAACTCCACATGTGTTCATTCATAGTTTTGATGCCTTCAGTGAGAATCTACAATGTAAATAGTCATGAAAATAAAGAAAACGCATTGAATGAGAAGGTGTGTCCAAACTTTTGGCCTGTACTGTATATATACACACACACACACATACACACACATATATACATATGCAGAATCTGTAGGTTACGGTACAAGATATTAGTATCAGAAGCATTGTGGTTTCCATTTGTCATCCAAGTAGTATTGACCAATCATGTTTAAGTAGGTTTTCTGTTGTGCACAGGGAAGTCATTGATGTGGTAAGCAAAAGAGGCTGAACACATCGGTCAAATTGCAATCTCGGAACCCATCAGCTATTGTCTGATGAAGATTTCGCTTTTTATTAGCTTTGTGTAATATATCTGTATTCATATGTAGATATCAGTTCATAGAGATGAGCTGAGATGTTGTGTGGACCTGTCGCTAGTCGGATCTGTAGACAAAAAGCAGTGCATGGTAGAGGATCTTCACCAGGTTTTCCACTGGCAACACCAGATCTCCCGAAATATTGGCTGTTCAGAGGCTTTATGTTTGTCAGATGAGAGCCGAAGGGTTCCCAAGATTGTTTAGGCAGTAATCTCCTGGAATTATCTGCTATAGGAATATTAACTGTTGCACTTTCGATTTGACTGCAGCTCCACCTCCACTTCCCCCCAAGAATGTCCCGACCTCTCCCCCATCGACTGGCTCTCCCTCAGGAGATAACGCTGGTAAGAGGTCTTCTCATCTATTTCTGCCTCCTGATATATCGCACTGTCACATCGGGATGAGACAAACTGTAACTTTAGATATCAAAAGCTTCTTCATCTCTAACTTTCTGGCTCTAACTTTCTCTGTCGTCATGTTTTATCTCTGTGTGTAAACTTACTGAGCCCACAGCCTTTGATTGGTCCATTGGTTGTCTGTGTTTCAGAAGTGTCACCAGACGCAGACAGTTCTGTCAGAAAGCCCTCAATAGCTGACTTGGACAACATTTTTGGACCAGAAGAGGCTCCCCCTGCTGGCGAGGACACAGGCGACTCGTGGGTCTGCTTCAATGCAGAATCTCCTGACCGGCCGCCTGTACCAGAGGAACCAGCACCTCCAGTACCAACCTCCCCGCCTCCACCTGAATCTCCTGCCCCACCCCTACCAACATCACCACCTCCTCCTACTTCCCCTCCCCCAAAAGAAGAACCTGTGCCCCCTCTCCCAACCTCCCCGCCTCCCTCAGAGGAGCCTGTTGCACCTCGTGTCCCCTCGGGTCCACCTACACCTGAGGACCGAAATCCTCCCACGCTTGCCACCTCTCCACCCCCTGCACCACCAAAGGAGCTCGCGTCTCCTCCCACTTCCTCTCCCCCTCCTCTTGACGTACCTGCCAGCAACCCACCAGCTGCTGCTCCCAAAGCAAGCACCCCTCCAGCGGTGACTCCACCTGCCGAGGCACCCGCAGCACGCTCCGTCCCTCCGCCACTTACCCTGTCTCAGGAGGAGCAGTCCAAGAACACAGACGTCACCCAACCCAAAGAGGACGGAGGTGAAACTGTCACCTCGCCCAACGATGCTAGCCAGGGCAGTCGGAGTACACCTCCCCCACCTCCTCCACCGACATATCGGGCAGTGGTGTCGTCACCAGGTCCTACATCAGGAGCTGGTGGCACAAATAGCGGTGAGTGACCAATGACGGTAGTGAATACAGTTTATAGAGGACCAGTTTTTAGAGCTGAGATTGGTGAAAATAATTTCCTGAATCACATCTAGATAATAACTGTGTGCAGAGGACAGTGATTGACTGTCACACTCTGACAATTTCCTCATCATCAAACCAGCCAAGCAACTAGTTATATTAACAGCATCCATACAAATAAGGTTAGGTGGAGACTGTTTTGACTGGAGTTGAGAAGAGATTGTGTTACAGCATTGCACCATTTCCAGTTTTCCTTTCAGCTGATTGCACCATCATTGTTGTTAAACCTGCACAAAGTGAACTGTGCATCTGCATTTTTATTTATTCCTGGGAAAGAGGTCATGTTTTGGCCCGTTGTATATACACCACCATTCTACTGCACAATTGTGTTATGTTAGAGCAGGTTTTTGTTCTGACTGACTCGTAGTTAAAGGTCAGACTTCAGTTTGGTAGAACAGTTTCATTTTTACTGCACATACACTGTCTACTGTAGGAGCTGTCAGCTAGTCCTGCCAGAAGGACTTCTACCTTTAAAAGTATGAACATTCCAGCTGTCCATTATGCAGAAAACTAACATTTTTCTTCAGGTAAATTTTAATAAGCCAGACTTAATACGGAATATATAACTATTTGAAGAAATAGTCCAAATAAAGGGGAAAACACTGACCAAATTTAGGCTAGTAGTTCACTAAAGAAAGTGTGTGACTAAGAGCTGCGCATAAACTGTAACAAGCCAAAGTTATTAAGAAGTAATTTTGTGTGGTTGAAGCTTACGGAAAATCCTTATTGTCAGTGGTAACAGATACTCAAGGCAGCTAAAATGGGAGGCTGTCTTCTCTTAATCCTGTATAGAGGTGTGCATGACAGAAGTAAAAACCCAATTTCAACTGAAGTGAAACAATAATATGAAAACTTAGTCTCTCTTTTCATGAAAAGCGCATTTAAATTTGCAAAAGGGAAACCAATTCTTGAGTATACACATTCCTTGTTACAGAAACTCGTCACCCACACAACGACCACTTATATATTAATTATTCATGCCGTGTTGCCTTGAATTGGTGAAGAAAACTGTTCTTTCATTCCCCTGGTGGAGAAAGGAATTCAAAAATGGTTAATGTTGATAAAATAAAGCAAACTGGGGTCGCGTTTAACAACAGCACAACTATATTACAAATCTGTTAAGAATCTCTCACACAACTCCTGCAGTTATAAGGTTCTCCAATACTTAAATTAATAAAAATTGTTTGCTGCTTTTGGATGCTTCATTGACTGGAGGCATATGAGAAAAACAGTGATCTTCATGAATTCAAGATAACAAGGCACGAATAACTGACACATGAATGGTCATTTATTTGGGTGAAGTATTCCTTTAATATTGTCCCCTGTTACACTGTGAGTATGAAAATATGTTCCGAAAATAAACGTAGGAAATATGCTTGCCAGTGTATTTAAAAATGATCCTTTCCATCATGCATTTATTCTGCATGTACATTGGAGTTTTTTCCACATTTAGACATCTAAAAAGAACAGTAGGGTTTAATAAAATAACATATGTGTCTATATGTTTCTGTTCTGCCCTGCAGGTTCCTCCTCTCCAGTGCGACCTTCCACTCCTTCGTCAGCGAACCCCACCCCACCACCACCTCCACCTCGTCCCCCTTCACGGCCCAAACTTCCTCCAGGGAAACCCACTATAGGAGATGTAGTAAGTGTTGTAGTTTGTCATATTTTATGTGTTTTGCCTTGTTTAATATTTAGTGCCCACTTAACAATATCAAACTGTGTCACTGTTGCAACAAGTGCTGGTCAGATAATACCCGGGGGGGGGGGTTAATTCACTGCCTACCTGGTTTTTGGCTCACCTGCATCCTTACATGGACAAGCAGGAATATTCCATAACAGAGCACACCCACTTGTAGAGCTTGCTTATGGTAAAATTAACTTTGGTACAAGTTTTTCAGGTGATCATCAGAGCTTAACGTGGTTACTCAAAATAACTTCTGATGCCTAAATGTAACCATAATAAGCATTAGTTTAAGATACAAAATCCTTGAACTTAAAAAATGTCTCTCATTTTGTTCAGTCCAGAGGTGGGGGACACTAGTCATATGACTTAACTCGTGTCTGACTCAAGTTGCAAATTTGAGGACTTGAGACTTGCTTGACTGACACTGATGAAGGACCCGACTTTGACTTGGTATTCATGACTTGAGACTTGGGTTTGACTTGAAACAGATGACTTGAAAGGGCTTGACTTTTTTATTTAATATTTGCATTTTTCTAGACATTGAGAAGTTACATTTTGTTTTTGAAATATGATAACGCATATGTCGCAGCAGGGGAGGATCCACCGGCTGATATTCGTGCCCACACTACCACTTCCTCCTGCCCGCAGCTCTCCTCGGAGGAATGGCAATATGTATAGCAGCATCATGTGCTTTTATTCAGTTCTATCTGCGTGATACATGTCAGATAAGTTGTCAACAACTCATTCAGTATTGAACCTGCTTTGCAACCAGTGACACACCGTCTCACTGTCACCGTGAGAGCCGATACATGTCACTGCTAGCTTTATGTGCTCAGGCTCTCCTCTTATTTGTACGAGGTTTTGATACTGCCACAGTGCGTAATGAATGTTCCTTCCTGCTGTCCCAACATAAGTTCACCATCTGTGAATGTGTGTATGTGCGCTTGCCGTGTGCATCCGTGCACCATGAGATGGTTTCCCCAGTGACTTTTTTTTTTTTTTTTTTTTGGCTTTCCATTCCTGCTCTGCTCCCATTTGGGGATTTTAACAGTGTGTTATTATCTCACCTGCTCAGCAGCAGCAGGTACATTATGTGAGTAGAGTCTGTCACCCTGACCAGAGGGCTTGGAGCAGCAGAGGAATTATTTAAATCTTTAGTAAAAGTAACTAATACCACTCTGTTAAAAAATACAATACTTAGAGTACCTGAGTAAATGTGTCTAGTTAGATTCCACCACTGGGTGCAGCTTATGTTATATTATCTTTGAGTTTGTGAGTGTAACTTGACTTGCTTGACCTGACCAGTGACTCAACTTGACTTGCATGATTTTCACCACAGTAACTTGTGACTTGCTCGAGACTTGAAGGCTGTGACTTTAGACTTGCTTATGACTTGCACATGTGTAATTTTACTCCCACCTCTGCATCAGTCCAATCTGTCTGTATCTCTTTATCTTTTCAGAATCGTCCATTCAGCCCGCCGATCCACTCTGCCAGCCCCCCTCCTATTGCCCCATTGGCGCGGGCCGAGAGCACCTCCTCCATCTCCTCCACCAATTCCCTGAGTGCCGCCACCACCCCCACCGTCAGTAAAGAGCTCTCCGTGTCCGTGTCAGGTGTGTGCTCCCTCAACGGCCATCTGACAGCTGTGCTCACAGAGGCTAGCAGTCATGGTTGAATTTTACTTTTCATGTCTAAAATTAAAAGTTCATTCTTGATTTTATGCACTGGCCCTGTCCTTCCTTATGCTCGTTTTTTTTGTGGAATGAGTCACGGCGTTTTATATTTATTTATTCATTTTTAGATGTGTGTTTTCTGGAAAGGGTGACAGTTTCCTGCCAATGACGGTCCACTCATTGATGAATATCAGTAATAGAGTGCCAAAACATGTTGTGGCATCTAATTACCACACATCATTAAAACCTATGCATGTTGTCAGCTGTTAGTATCTGGAGATAGATGGGAACAAATGTAAAACATGACATTGGTGTCTTGATTTCTATTAATATAGATAGATACAGATAGATAAGGCTTCAGGTTGACACACACAAACAAATTTATATTTACCCTCACACGCACAGTATGAGTGGTTGGTGAAGCAGGGGTGTATATTAATGGCACAACATCAACAACGACTCCTTGATTTAACTTTAGAGTTGGTGTAGAAGGACTTGCAGTGCAGAGTTGTGAGTGGATAACAGCAATTCTCAGTAGACTGTAGCATGACTGAGTCATAATAGATTTAAGAAATACGCACTCTGGAGGCAGCAGCAGTTACATAAAAACAGAATATAGTCCCTGGTTGGTGGTTGCTTTTTTAAAACAGATTGTAGGGACAAATAATAAGCACATGGCTTCAGTACATTCAGACTGTGACGTAGAAAATATAATTTCTGTTTGGAGATTTCACTTAAGTCTCCATTACAGCCCTAAATGTACATTATTTATTCATTGTTGTTTTGTTAGTAGTCTTTAAGCTGATGAACTTGACAGTAATATAAAAGTCACTGAGACTGTTTTAATTATAAACCACAGTTATTCCAGTTTCACTGCTTTCTAAATTTGACATTTTTTGTTCTTCACAGTTTCATTTTTGTGTGCATGACAGTACTTTTTTTGATTTTTATTTTGAATTATTTTTCCTTGGTTTGATTTTCTTTCTGTTTTGTTTTGTTTTTTGCCATTTGTTTGTTCGTCTCTTTATTTGTCCTTTTGGCTTGTCAGAAGACGATGCTTATGTAGACAAACTGCCCACCTTTGAGAGACACTTTGATTCGTTTGCAGGTACAGTACAGATCCCCTCAAAGAGAGGAACGGGGTCGGGTTTGGGGGGGAGTGCTCTTGTGTCATTTTTCAGTCTGTTTGATGTTCTTTACCCAGAGTGCACTTGACACAGAAGGGTAAAGGTCCATCATTGAGTGTTTTTGTGCTTTCTCAATGAATGTCAAAGTGTTGAGGTATTGGGACAGCGAGATACTTTTTTTCCACGTTCTGGCTCAGTTTCAGAAAGCCTGTTTTTGCATTCAACACATTTCAAATTATTAGATATAAAGACCATTTACGTGTCATTATCCTAATACCTACACATTTGACTAGTCTACTTCAGGGTCTGCTAACAGATGTAGGGACATACCACACGTTCATTTTATTCTTTTCAAATGTGGCAGCTTTTTTTTTTGTTTAGTGAAAACATAATTTTTTGCTGTTTTGTTGTTTTGCTTTGTGGACTCATACCTTTCCACACATTTGCCAAGCATTTAATAGGTATGATAGTCTGTATCTCTCTGTCTCTCCTATCTGTATATCCCTCACTCTCTTGTATCTCTTGTTACCCACAGACAAAATTTACCAGAAAAAATGAAAACTGTGGTGACATAAAAAAAACTGCATCTATTGCATAACTTTTTTTTTTTTTTTTTTTACGAATAAGTTTGAGTGTCTTCCCCTTTGCCCATCTGCCCGCTCGTGAGACTTTTCTCTCTGTTTTATGACTGTGCACCAAGTGCTGTCTCGCCATGTCACCATGGCAACCTCGTGTCTCTTCTCTTGGCGACACATTGTGTGCGTGCAGAGTGCAGTGCAGTCCCTCCCAGATACCTTTACTCTCAGTCTGCACCACAAGAGTGTGTTTGAGTGTTTGTGTGTTCAATGAGCATGTCTGAAGAGCTCCTGATCTGTGGGCCCTTGAGATCCATATTGTCTGTCTTTCTCTCTCACTCTCTCACACACGCACTCAAACACACACGCACTCTCACACATGCTGTCAGATCAGAGCTGCTGCTCACAGAGTCGTTTGAAGTCTGGCATGAGAATTAGGCCGAATTAGACAGGCAGCAGCTGTTTGGTATTCGTGTCATCCTCTCTCTACCGCTGGAGTAGCACGACACAGCCTCAAGTTCAACCAATCTCCACCTGGCCCCAAAGCCTCGGTCTACTCCCACACTCGACCCCTGACGCCCACCTGTCACACCTGTCACTCTCAAGCCATAGAAACACAAACCCCAAAACCCGCCCTTCCCATCTGAACACCTGCCCTTTTGTTCTCTTCTTGAAGCACCACGCTACTCTCATCGTTCCATCATCCAACAACTCTGCTAGTGCACTCACTCAACAACACACTTTCACTGCTGGGATCCTACGTCAAGACAATAGTATGGACTTGAACGAGCCCAAACTGCTCTGCTCTGTGTCACACTGAAACACTGACATGAGTTAAAGCTAATATTTGACATTGGGAGAATCATATTTTTGCTGCTTTTTTGTCATTAGTGAAATAGTTCACAACACAATCCATGGAGAGGCTTGTTCTCGTCAAACTGGAGCTGCATCCCAGTTCAGGGGCCAGATCCTCCAAAGTTTGAATTCATAGACTCATAAAAAGCTTGTCTCTTTTGAGAGGCTCATCAAAATACATCTGATGAATCAGGCCTTCTTTTGCCCAAAGTTTAAAGACAGATCTGGTGTATTTTTTGCAACCTGTAATATCCTGTAATCCTCCTGTTTCACTTGTGTCCCCAAATCAAAGTATCTTCTTCGTGTGACAAACAAAAGGGGCCATGTTGATCACTGTTTAGTTGTTCAGTGCATACTGGGGCAATCACTATAAACTCATAAGGTCATCAACTTGGTACACTGCTGTGTACCAGGACGGTCTGGACGCACATGACATGCGTCGCAACCACTAGGCCACCAGGACGCCCCACTTGGTCCTTTTTTATGCCAGTTGTCCATCATGTATTGAAGTGAAAGTTGCCAGCGTGCACTCCTAACTCTAGCTCCTCCTAACTCCTAACTAGCTGAGCTGACCACTGGTACTTGAATATTGTCAGCTGTTTGAGGTATAGCTCAAACAATACGGGACATTTTAGACCAATGTTTGTAGATATTTGAGTGTGTAAATCTGATAATAATGACCTGGCTGATTTTATGAATGAACACACAGAAGGCATCTTTGATAAAGATCCTTTTTTGCAGTCGGAAAAATTGCTACAGCGCTTTGATGAACATACTTTGTAATGGAGACACTATTTATATAGTACCTGAAATATATCTTTGGCATATCCAGTTAACCAGGACCGTCTGTGAGGAAAGACTGTCTTCACCTTCATAGTCTGTGCTCCTTGGAGGAGCCAACCCCTGAAATTGGGACGCAGCATTTCTCTCCCTGTGCACCACAGTCTCACCACAGTCCCTGCTCTCTCGGTATCATGGTTGCCCCCTGCAGGGTGTCTTCTACTTCCATTTGTTTCATAATTTGAAAAGTGGAGGCCTGGAGGAAAATGTGAGCACAGTAAGATGCCGAGAGGAAAGCCTAAAATAGATAAATGCGATATGAACAATCTGCCACTGATGGAGACAGTAGTGCCAGTTTAGTGCTACCTAAATTGCCACGAATTAGAGTATCAGCTCGTGTGGAGTTCCCATTTTATTTATCGCACAATAGAGAAAACATTGGCTGCTGCCCCTGAAACTGGCAACCACCGCACTGTCTCTCCTGGCAGCCTCAACTTCCTCTCTCCTGTATTCCATATTGAGTCCTTCCACTGCCAGCATCCAGCAGCACACACCTGGCCCTCGCTCCACCTGGCTCCTGCCTCTCCTCACGCACGCAAGCACCCACAAAAAAAACACCACCCATGTTGTCACATGCTCTGTCTCGCCTTGTGTCTCTTCGTCCCCCCACCCTTGGCCTCCACCTCCACGTTTCACCCCACTGTGACGTGTGATAGACCTGCCATGTGAGACTCACGCTACTGTCCTTCTCTCCTTCCCTCCTCTCACCTCTCCTCACCCACCTCCCTCCCTTTCATTCCTCTTCCTCCTCCCTCCTCCTCGTCCCTTTCTCCCGACCCCACCTCCCCTCCTCCCTCCACCCCTCAACCCCACACAGAGAATGACCAGCCATCCCTTGTATGGTTTGACAGAGGGAAGTTTTATTTAACCTTTGAAGGTAAGTTCTCTCTGCACCAGGGTAGCGCGCACACACTCTATTGTGAGGCTCATTTGTGCAAGCTTTGTCCCCTTCCCCTGCCCTGCCCCCTTCTTTCCTCCCTCCCTCTCCTCTCCATCACCCTAACCCCCGCC